AACACCCATGTTAGGCAAACAACATGGAGAGTCCAAAGGCCACATTATAGCACTGTTAAAATGCCTTCTCAGAGCACCTGAAGGGTATGTTTCTTCCAAAAAACCACCTCAGGATCACCCAGAAGGTCACAAATATTTGATCACTAAGCAGTGAGATTGCAAAACCAGCTTCAGGGTGTTATGGAAAATGTTCTAACATTTAACTGTGTATTTATAAAGATTTCCCAGTAATACTAGTGGAGGGAAGGAAGATTTGGCAAGAATCACTTGGACATCTTTGACATTATATAACTGACTCATGAATATTTACTTGTTATCCATGAGATAAATCCGGTCCTCTGTCATTTATCAAGAGACTGAGAAGCATGATTACTCTGAAAACTCAGAACAAAATCTGGAATAGTGGGAATAAGCCAGATTTCCATTAATGTTAATATTAATAGCAGGGCTATTTTTTTCCAAGCTAGTTTGTTTCATTTAATTTTCTGAGTCACATTTTCTCTTAGCATACACCACACATTTTTGTTTTCTCTTTTGTTATATTTATTATACATCCACACATGCAACATGTCCCCCCATACCTAGGCCCAGTCTGAGATGACTAGTTTAGCAAAATCAACAGTAGTTGAGAATTGGATTTCTCAAGGGAATGGTAGCAAAGTGTACAGAGGTAACTCTAGGTTCTCAGGTCAAAGTAGACCAAGTTTGTAATAACATGTCACCACTATATGATAGACGTTGTAATCCATTTTTTTGTTCAGAATTGTCTAGATCAAAAAGCCAACACTTCATTTGAACCAAGTAAACACCCATTCTGACAGTTTCAGCAGGTACCTGAAGTGACTGAAAAACCCTTTCATCTCTAAACATGACCCCTTTAGATCAGGAGTTAAGGCATATTGGCAGTGAGGTTTGTGCAAGTATGTTCTGCTGCTGACTGGACAGAGGATTTCAGATATCATATCTCTAGTGTTTGCACCTTTTGAGGAGCTCAAGTTTTACGGGTGAAGGGATTTCCCCAGTATACCACAAAGCGTAAAAAAATGCCTTGAACAAGGCCCAAGCTCAGCAAAGCCCTTAAGTATAAACTGAAACAGCATGGGTTGTAATGGCGATGTATTGTTATTTCACCAGCTGAGGTCTTACAGCTACATATACAAATATCTTCTCCCATCCATCTCTCACTCTCTTTGGTTTCTTTCCTTCCTCCTCCTCCCCTTTCCTCCCCTGCTATCCCTAAATGCAGTTTGTGTCCAATAAGCAAATTTTCCTGGACACTTTCAATTGTTTAAAAGTGTTTTGCTACATTTGAACTCAAATAAACACTCCTCTTGTTTAATTTACAGCAGTCAATGAAGGTTTATTTCCCATTGTCAGTAACAATATATACCAGACATCTCCCTTCAGAGCAAATTACTGCAGTAGGGGCTTAAAAAGAATCCCAAAAAACTGTACACCTCACATGAGGTAAGAAACCCCATCTTCATGCCCATGCCAAAGACCAAACTAGGAAGACCCGAAGTTCTTCAAATACCAGGTGGCTCAACACTAACTCTGGAAGGCCAGGAAGAAGTGATACCGACAGACTTCGGAGGTCCTATCTAATCAACCCTTCCTGGAAAGATGGTTGCAAGGACACAGACCTTAAGGCTGAGGACATAAAGTGCGTGAAAACGTGTCATAACCCTCAGGACTTAGGGAGATTTCTAATTCTCTACCTTCAAACTTAAACATGTATGAAAGATGGAATCATAATAGACCACAAGCTAAATATGAGTCAACAATGTGACATGGTTGCAAAAAAAGCAAACACAATTCTGGGATGCATTAACAGGAGTGTTGTGAGAAAGACACAAGAACTCATTCTTCAGCTGTACTCTGCACTGATTAGGCCTCAACTGGAGTATTGTGTCCAGTTCTGGGTACCACGTTTCAAGAAAGATGTGGAGGAATTGGAAAGATACAGCAGAAAACAACACAAATTATTAAAGGTCTAGAAAACATGAGCTGTGAGGCAAGGCTGACGGAATTGGGCTTTTTTAGTTTAGAAAAGAGAAGATTGAGAGGGGACATGATAGCAGTTTTCAGGTATCTAAAAGGGTGTCACAGGGAGGAGGGGGGGAAATTGTTCTCCTTGGCCTCCGATGTCAATGGGACAAGAAGTGATGGGCTTAAACTGCAGCAAGGGAGGTGTAGGCTGGACATTATGAAAAACTTCCTGTCGAGGTGGTTAAACACTGGAATAAATTGCCTAGGGAGGTTGTGGAATCTCCATCACTGGAGATATTTAAGAGCATGTTGGATAGACGTCTATCAGGGTGATATAGATATAGCCCATGATTGGTCCCGTCATGAGGGCAGGGGACTGGACTTGAAAAGTATCAGACATGTGACAGACCCCACGTAAAACCCTGCTGGACACATCTTCCCAGTTTAACAACAAACCAAACTACTATTCAAGTAAAGTCTTTTAACCAGTAGCGCACCCACCTTATAAATGCTTTCATCTTGATCATATTTCCCTAATTTGTTTATAAAAATGCCTCACTAAAAATCAGGTTATATTATGTCCACTGCTTCCCCCCCCATCCAACACGGCAGTGACCCTATCAGAAAAGCAAATTTCATTGGTGTGACATGATTTTTAATACACAAATCCATGCTGGATATCCCTTATTGTCCTCTTATCCTCAAAGTACTTACAAACTGTTTGTTTAATAATTTATTCTAGTACCTTTCGAGGTATCAAAGGTATCAATGCTGACTTGTCTATAATTCCCCTGGGCCTCTTTGTTCCCTTTTTAAAAACAGGTACTTTCCCCCTGTCCTTTGGGACCACACCCATCCTCCATAAGTTCTCAAAGGTAACAGCTAACCGTCAAAGACTGCTTCAGCTACTTCCTGAGGTATCCCAGGATGAATTTTCATCAGGTATTGTCATCTTGAATACATCTAATTTATTTAACCTTTTTGAACCCTGTTCTTTCCTTCTCCCAGGCTTATTATCCTTCTGCCTTGGTGCTAAATTAATTGTGTTAAGCATCTGGTCATAATTAACCTTTTTAGTAAAGACAGAAACACTATAGGGATTAAATACCCCAGACATCTTGGTGCCCTTCATCATTATCTTTGCTTCTCTCAAGTAATCAACTTACACTTTCCTGCATTTTCTCCTTCCTCTTAATGTGCTCCAGTAATCCTGTTTTTGCCTTCCAGGTCCCTTGCTAGGTTTAACTCATTCCATACCTTAAGCTTTCTGTTCTTTTGTGCTTAGAAAATTGTCCATATTTCCATTTTTGTGAAATTCTTTTGATTTTTCAGGTCATTAAAGAACCCCTAATGGTCCCGTATCAGCCTCTTAATATTCCTCCTGTCTTTTCTTTGCTATAGACCAGCTGCTCAGTTGCTGTAAATCAGTATAGATCAATTGAATTCAATGGGTTGATGCCAGGTTCACCTATTTTAGGTTGCTGTAAACAGAGATGATTGGAACATTTGAGCCACTCTACTATCCTTTGCTTTAAGTGAGCAATAAAAGGTCAATCTGCTTTGAGCCACTGCTGTTAACTAGTACATGGTATTTGAGGCACCAAATTGAAATGGAAGTACATCCCTGTCAAACAGATTGGAAATCAGACATGCAACACTAGACAGTTAACGTGCCTATTAACCAGATCCTACTAACCACAACCTGGCTCAGCAGCACCAACTGTTTAAAGCAAGTTTACTAGTCTCTTGGATCAAGGATGGGATGACCAGAGGACAGTCGCATCAACCATAATTAAACCCAAGTTACATACAGTCAGATTCTATTTTACTGATAATTTGGCCTGGGGCTTTGAGAGATTACTTATCCAGGCAGGTCCTAGCTCATGCTCCCTAGTGGACAAAATGAAAACTAACAGCCTGTTCTATCCACCCCACCTAGGAAGGTGATCCTACAAATAGGGAAAACAGCCAGCTCCTCAGGGGACAGCCCTATTAAATAAAAGGAGAGTCTGCTATAAAGGTCTCCTAGAAGGCTAGGGCACAGAATATGCAGTTTGCTGAAGGGAGGAAGTCTTAAGTCTTAACTGGTATATACGCCAGTTGGTGTAATTAGAAAGCCTCTGAAGTCAATGGGGGAGCACAGGTATTATGCTAATTTGTTTCTTGGCTCTGATTGTGCTCTTGCATGGTATTTGGCTCCAGCAAGTACTAAAATCTTCCATTCCTTGTTGATCAGGAATATTTCAGCAACAGGAAGAAGAGGAAGCTCTTTCTTTTTAATTGAACGATATAGCATTCATTCATGTTGCTCTGGCGTGAGGGGAGTTATTAGGTATCAGTCCCAATCAAAAGGTAAGAATGAGACATTTCTGCTAATACTGTAAATTATAAAGCACACCCATAAATTCCATACAAAAACAAATTAACGAAATATTATAGTTCTAACTTCGTCCAAGATTGAAAGGGAAGTTTTATCCCATTCTTGGTTTTCACAGGAGCAGCAGCAAGAACTCAGATTGGAAACTTAATCCTTAACACTGTTATTGTTACCACATTCTTGGTTCCTTATGGTCTATAGAAGCGGGTCCCAACCACCAGGCTGTGGCTGGCTGCCAGGCCACGGACCTCTGGCTGCTGTGCCTTGGCGGTTCAGGGGGCCGGGGCTGAGGTACACTGCTCCTGCCGCAGCTCTTAGGAGAGGCATGTCCTACCCCACCTCTCAGCCAACCAGTGCCAAACAGGGGTGGCAGCGATCTCTTTCCTGACACAGAAGAGTGCATTGGTGCGTGGTGGAAGGGCCATGCGGGGTCCAGCATGGCAGCCTTAGAGCAGCCATGACCTGGGCAGCAGCTCTCAGCTGATGGCTGGGAGGCAGCACAGGGCTAGGTGAGGGGGATAGGGCAGGCAATGGGGGCTCTGGGGGCGGGCTAGTGCTGGAGGACTTGGGGGGCTCTAAGAGGCAGGGGACTGGCAGTGGAGAGGACTCCGGGGGTTGTGTGCAGTGAGGCTCTGGAAACAGGAGGCTGGCACTGGGGGGGCGAGCTTCTAAGGGGTGGAGGTCTGGCACTGAGAAGATGGGGGCTGGCACTGGGGGGGGGCTCTGAGGGCAGGAGGGTGGTACAGGATGGGGAGGGTTGGGTGCAGGGAACTCTGGGATCAGTGGCTGGCACTGGGGAGTAGTGGAAGGACGGGAGGCTCTAAGGGTTAGGGCTGGCACTGGGGGACTCTGAGGGCCAGGACTTTTGACGGACTGGTAATATTTTATTTGCATGGCCATTGTTTTCATAATGAATATGCAAATAAAATGTTACCAATCTGCCAAAAGTTTGTGAATGGGTTTGCTGGTCCCTGGTATAAAAAAGATTGGAAACCACTGTTCTATACAACCAACAACAGAAGCTCCCATCCCTGGCTCTAGGCACTCCTGACAACTTTTAAACACACAATTGCAAAAGGAACCATATCTGCAGTTACTCATCAGCTAACAATAAACCCACAACAATAAAAGATATCACAAATATTTTCTGTTGGCCTAAGCAAGTTAATATTATCTGGAAACACAGCGAAGATGCTGCAAAGTCATGAACACTTTCTTTCTGACACACCTGGACATTTTGACTAGGGATGTTAAAATGCATTTATTCAAGTTACTGTTGAAAATTTCAGCAGTTACATGGTTACACGCAGGAGGGGGCAGGGGTGGACAACAGGAATCTCCCTGGGAGCCAGTGATCACGAGGAGCTGGCTTAAAAACTGGCTCTCTGTGAGCACTGGCTCTTGCCTGCCCCTCTCCCCCCACCGCCTCTGATACAGAGGTAGCAGTGTCGGGGGAGGGGGCTATGTGTAACCGTGCACATTAACTGATGAGCCCAGGCTCATCGGTTAACTGTGTACATGGTTACACTTTCACATCCCTAATTTTGACATAACTCCTCACTTCAGACAACAACATTAACACATCAGCAGCAGGCCTAAGAGTTTTCCTCTCGTAAAATGTTTTCTTGGGAGAAAAGAACATTCCTTCTGCTTTCAGAACAACCTCTGGCAAAGAGCCAGTCTTCTGGCTTTTAGCACAGTCTAACAGCATACATTATTCGTATTTACAGTCGCTCTCATTTACACCTGAATTCCATAGTACATCCTGTTTGTATCTTTTGGCACAGAGGATTTCAAAAGGAAAATTAAAACGTTTCCAGCTTTCCATCCTTGTTTCTTCAATTCTTCACTCACCCTATAAATTGCTTCTAATAAACAACAAATTCACTATCTGGGGACAAAGGTTAAAGACTCCAAGGCCGCAGGTAAAATGAGTACAGTCGTCTCAAATGCCCACATCACAAAAAGAACCACACTATTCAGCACAAGCGGCAGCCTCCAATCGAGAGAAGTCCAGGACTGCAAAAAAGATGAGCAGCCACAGAATTATGTGAAGGAAGACAAGACAAGCACTGTATTCACCCACATTTTTTGAAGGCACCTTAGAACTTTTCCAATGAACTGGAATCAGATAGTAATCTGAGGGCAGAGGTGCTCCATCACCACTGCCACTTCAGCCCCTACATCATACTGGAGGAGAAGACACTCTGACATTGCCAAGAACCCCTATAAAATAGTCTGAATTACTAGAGAATGACGACATCCCAACCACTCAAGCTCATATACAACACTTTTCATCCATAGCTCTCCAAGCGCTTTATGCAAAAGAACAGTTTTATTATACACATTTTATAGTCCCAATCTAGTGACCTATCCACTAAGCCATCCTGTGTGCGTGGATTTAAAAGCATGCTTCTCTAAAAGAAGTGACTTAGTAAAAAAGATCATTAGCTTCCACGTGTGCTATGAGCAGGGCTTGACAAACGGTGGCGAAATCTACTCGCCAGCCCTGCACTGCGCATGCGCAAGACCCACATTGTGCATGCGCGCGCTGCCAGTGAATGGGGCGACCGGCTGAAACAGCGATTTGTCAAGCCCTGACTATGAGTAACCTCCACATAGTAAGTTATCAATTCACACAGAAAAGCAGGTGCCCAATTTACAAGTAAAAGTAGATGTTTACAAAGAACAATGTGTGGATCCTTCTCATTCCTAGAGATATGCTATCATGACGAAGATGACTGTGATACACCCTTCCTTAATCAGAGGCCAGGAAATTCTTCATCTGCTAAAAAATCAAGCTACTGTTTAAAACGTTAAATGAAGCAAGGAGAGAGGTCAATCTGGCAATTTTCATCAGCACAAAATTCACCCCAGATTTTTTTTAAATACATATATCACCTGCACTAACCCATCTGCATTTCATCCCAAAAAGGTGCCTTTTCTCTTTGTATTAGATTTTTTTGTTAACAGTATAAGTTCTTCTCTTCAATAGGCACCATGACTCTGTAGTTTGGCTCCCTATAGTACCTGAATTTGGTAATCTTCTCCAATTCCTTCCAATTTCTTCTTATACTCATAGATGGCTTCCTTCATGTCATGCATTTCAGAGCAGCAGGAAATAGCACTGTCCACCTTGGAGAGAGCAAAAGGGAATTCAGTAACTGAAGGCAAGAGATGGGATTTCACCCTCTCCCAGCTGGTCCTATTTGGTTCTCTCCTTCCCCTCCCACCATGCCACTTCCATAGTCTCCTCAATGACTGCATTCATTTGTAGTTCATCAATTAACAGCTGTTCTGTTGTCCACAGCATGGCTGGCAGCACCACAATGCCTTTCGTTGCCAGGCTACCTCAGCACTTCCTGGTGGGGCAAGGAAGGAGAGCATCCATGTCCAATCCATGCTACATTATGCGCACACCCTCCTCCCTCTCACGGAGGAGCAGGAGGACAAGAGAGGGTGCAACAGTGCCTTCCCTTGCCAGTGCTTTAAGGACACCATACTGTTGAAGTCAATCAGATACTTTTCAATGGCCACTGTGATCATAACCCACAACTCCTTGCTCTAATTCAGGGTCACTGCTTCTGACCCAATGAGAAAGAAACTGAGACTAAGGCCAGGGCTACACTACAGACTTCTGCCAGCATCAATATGTCCGTCAGGGCTGCAATGAGTTGTGATTTGTGACAGACAAATGTGCAGGCAAAATCTCCTCATGCAGATGCAGCTATACCAGCAAAGCTGTGCTTCTGCCAGTACAGCTTGTTTCGCCCAAAAAGAGAAGAGACAGGGAGCGCAGGAATAAGCTTAGACATAAGCAGCATCTACACTAGGAGTACTTTGCTGGTATACTGCAGGTTGAACCTCCTAAATCCAGGACTCTCTGGTTTGCCAACATCCGTGGTCCGGCAGGATCATGGGTGTTGCTGGACCAGAGAGCCCAGGGGCCCGATTGTGCAAGCTGGTCAGGAGACCACGGGTGGGGAGCCCCACCATTAGGACCGGAGAGCCCCCTCCCAGGGAGCCCTGGACAGGAAGCACTAGCGGGGTGCAGCAACGGGATGACCAGCAGCTTGTAAGCCACATCCCCAAGTCCCAGTCGGGCGGGACAGAAGCAGGGCTGTGGCAGTTAGGGAGCCCTGTCCCCAGAAAGCCCTATCTGGCTGGCAGCAGCGGGCCAGAGCCAAGCTCAAGCCCTTTAGCAGCAGGGCTGGCACCCAGGGGCAGTGGGGCCAAAGCAGAGCCAGCTGGTGGGAAGGGCAGTGTCCTGGAAGGCCAATAGCAGGGGGCCTCCCCTGATCCGGCAAATTCCCTCATTCGGGATGGGTCAGGTCCTGAGGGAGCCAGACCAGAGAGGTTCAACCTGTATCTCCATACCCAAATGTAGGCAAAGTCCACAGCCTGGTTCATCCTTGAAAATTTTACTAGCTATGTCAGTTAAGGGTGTGACTTGTCATCATCATCAGAGCACGGTATAGCTAAACAAGTACAACCCATGAGCATAGAAGCTATTATACTGCTAACGAGTATATATATATCAATATAGCTTATTGCTCTTCCCAAAACAGAACAAGCTGTGTCAGCATAAGCACTTTTACCCTGGTAATCCAACATCCATATTAGAAAGGTTGTACCACTCTTCTATAGCTACAGAGCACAAGGATAGGATGAAACAATGACATAAGTATCTCAAACACCAGGAGATCCATACTGTGCTGGGACTGGAGGATATGCCGCTATGGGACTGCTTTACACCTAGTGCTGTACCAGAGCCCCATGCCAGTCAATAGAGCTAATTGTAAATCTGTATGTTCCGCTTCTCATTATGATGTCAGCCACAAGCACTGAGGGAAGAATCCAAGATTTTGTGGTGCAGGACATATTCTTCTACACAAAGGCTATACACCCCGAAGACCGCCAGCATGAGATATATCAACAGAGGTAAACCTAACCACAGACATTTACCTCCTCAACGATTTGTTGGCCTTTTGGTACCATGTCAATGAAGTTCTGAATAACCTGAAATCGGTCCCGGGACAAAGTATTAGCAGGATGTGGAAGACTGTAAATTAGGAAGGAACATAACAATAAGTCTAAAGTTATAGCAACCTTCATCTCTTCTCTCTCTTCTTTTGCTTTTCTTTTACATTTATGCCAGTTTAAAATCTTAAAGGAAACTTCATCCAATCAACCCAGTGTCCAGTAGGCATGACTATGTACACAGTAGCTGAGCTTACAAGTGTCTTCCATTTTGAAAGGTTCTCATTGTTTAAGAGCTGTGCTCTATGTTAAAAATAGGGAATATCCACAGAGATGGTACCAATTCCAGCAAACACACAGAGATGCGGGGCTGCATGCTGCATTTGAAATGACTTTGGATCCATCCATGTGATTGTACTGTTTTTATATTATGCATAGTTGGAATCCCTTCCCGTGAGCAAACTCCATATTTTTCATTTTTGTTTTATGGGATACATGTTGCTGGCTGGTAATCATCCTGAGCTATTTTGCTATCAGAGTCTACAGAGAGAGCACTGAGTCTGAGCTGCAGCTATGGGCAGGCCTTCCTCAGAAAGACGGGAGAAAGTGCTCCTGGGGAAGCTGTAGATAAGGACATGGAAATGTTCAGTCCTTAAGCAGCTCTCGCTGGAGTGGTCCAAAGAGACTCACATTCCAGTCTCTCATGCAGAGACCAGAGCACCTATTTTCCTAGGCCACTCTCTGTGGCTTGAGTGAATGGGGAGACACTGTACCTGGCTTCTGGGGCAGGGCATGTAGGGAGAGAGACCAGGAACAGCTCTGATGCAGTGGCTGCACTGAGCCTCTAGTCAGCCTGTCTCTTATCAGAGAGATCACTTTAAGGCCAGTCCACACTACAGAATTACTTCAGGATAACTACATAGCTCTGGGGTGTGAAACACACACACGAACACACCCTGAGCACTGCAGTTATTCTGACCTAAGCCCTGATATAGACAGTGCTACATCGATGGGAGGGTTCTTGCACTGATGTAACTACCACATTTTGCAGAGGCAGATTAACTATGTGAAGGGTATAGCTCAGCGGTTCCCAACCACCGTTCCGTGGACCAGTGACAGGCCATGAACTGTTACTTGCCAGGCTGCAGCACACTGCCAGGCCACACCCCCACTGCTAATTGAGCCCAACTCACTGTGGAGCGTAGAGTTCCCAGAGTGCACAACTGCACGTGCACAAAAAATTCTCTGCCCACCCACTTCCCCACGCAGCAGTACAGTGTCTGGTGTGGCAGGTGGCTGTAGCTGGAGCCGGGGCTGTGGTGGCCCTGTCCCTATTGAGGCTGCATGGAGGGTGACTGTGGCCAGTGCCACATGGAGGGCAGCTGCTCCAGCAGCCAGGGAAAGCACCATGTGGAGGGTGGCTGCGTTAGAGGAGAAGCTCCCAGGCCAGTCTCCCACCCTACTTCTCATGCAGGTGGTGAGACCGAGGAACCAGGGACCCCGTAAGTCTGTTCTCCTCCTGCCTGCGCTGGCACTGCTGG